GCCCTTGAGCGTAGGAGCGCTACTGGAACCTGAAGCGTGCCCACAGTTGGGCGCAAGGTGCCTGCATTGGGCTCATGAGCGCCCCTGGTTGGGGGAAGACGCTTCAAATAAAATGTGTCCCAAGCAGAAATATCACAAGTACCACCACGACCGAGGCCTGCGCAGCCCAGTTACTAGGCGCAGAAGCACCCCTGGTTGGACGTAAGGGGACCTGTAACACCAAAGACCAAACATTTATATTTACATGCATATTACTCAAATCTTTAACATCACATCAAAAAAACCACCATCATTATATTTTTGAAAGAGAAATACACCTTTTGCTTGCATTGATTTATGATTCCAAGATGTTATAAGTGTAAATATCAAAGTTTGACTATTGTAGATGTTGTGTGCTTCATATGTAAATTTTCCTAAACATTACAAAGCTTTTTATGTTTCTAGCTTGAAAAAAAAAAAGAAAGAGAGTTATCTCTAAAACGTTCTCAAACCATCCGAAGTATAATCTAAAGTATCATATATTTATATAACAGGAGATAATAGGGCGTAATGATTGTACATATGCCTCATGAAGTTCTTTTTATATCTTAAAATTTCAGTAATAAAAATCAAAATCTACATATTTCATTCATCAAACTTCTAAATCTGTAGGGTTGGAAGGAATTAATAGGCTCATGAATATATGACACTTATTCATTCATAATGAATTATAAGCAGATGTTTGCCAAAGCCCCCACTATTGAACATATTTGGTTTTGGGATGACTGCATTAAACAATCTATCTTTAACTTTTATGATGTTGGCACACTTACATGAGACATTATTGTTGAGGGTATAATTTCCCACCATGAGGTCGTAGATTCAAATCATGCATATTATCCTTTAGGCTCACATGTTGCAAAATTTATAATGCCACAAAGAAAATGATTCGACACATCCAACAATATTGTGGTGAGTGAAATGGCCATCAAAAAAAGCTAAATGATGTTGCCCAATCATTAGGTGGTTATGGCAAGCTTCATGTTGGTCATCAATTATTATGATAAACAGTTTCAATGATATAATACATGATGAGTAATATCAATATTTATTACCAAATTTGATACCTCTAGATGTTACCGAAGAACCGCCTTTGGAAAAGTACAATTTGTTTCTTGCTCTAATGATGATTGCGAAAAGGACACCCATCAAGAGGTCATATGATTGTGATTTTCATTAGGATTGTTATTGGGTTAAGTCAACTTGAGTGTGTGAGAGATTAGAACTTCACTTGTTAAAATCTCAAGTTATTCATGTTTTATTTATTGTTGAGTAAAACTTTCACTCACATATGTCCAAACTTGCTTAAATTTTTTAATGTAATTATTTAACTTGTTTTAAATTTTTAATGTTCATATTTGATGTATATTTGACTTATTTATATTAACTGAATAATCTAAAAATTTAAATGAATATTCAATTTTTCTCCTAATATCAAAATTTCTATTTGTAGTTAAATTTTTTATAAGACATTATACAAGCTAAGAGTTTGAATGCATATTTGATTTTTTAATAAAACTATTAACAAATAGCTTTAAAAATCTAAATAAATAAACAATTCAATAAATCATATACTAATATTCAACCAATTTCTCATATTAACAAATATTAGTATACACTGTAGAGTTGTGGATACAGCCTTTTAGACTCTTCTCTCTAAAAAAAATATATATCAAACAAATAAATAATTTATAAATTATAAATAATTTTTCTTGCAATGAAATAATGTAAATAATACATACTAACATTAATATATAGTATGCTACTGCTAATAATTATATTAAATTAATTTTATTTAAATACTATATATATATAAATATATATATATAATCTTTGACATTATTTATTAAACAACAAATAAAAATTTTAGTGAACATTAATAAGCTAATTAAATTAAGTTCAAATTTGTCATTTAATTCATATTTATTTACCAGTACGAACAAACATAATTTTTAAATAGAGCTGAGTTCAAACTGTTCATCAAGTGAATTAGTTCATTTAAAGTCCTTCCTAATTGCCATATAAGGTGCATCAAACATTACTATTATTACAAAACTGCTGATTGAAATACCTCAGATTTCAACTTCAGAGAAACAAACATTTTCGAGCGAGTTCAAGCCCAATCTTACCAATAGATTCGAGAGAATTTTCAGATCATATCTGAAGCATTACATCTTATTATTTTCTTAAGCTAAAAAAAATATAACCAAATCATGACTACCAACTTCAAATATTAGACCCAAAGACACCAAAAACAGCTATTGCGGAAACATTTAGGCTAACTTGGGATGCATACATTTATAAAAGTTCAGAATTATAGCGATACTTGATCAAGTTAAATGATAAATATATTCAAATGATGCCAATAAGGAAATATCGAGTGAAATATTTGCAGATCTAAAAGAATATTTGCAAGAAGACAAATTATCAACCATCAATTCAAGATCATTGCATACAAGGGAGAGCACTTTAAAATTATAATTACATCAGCAATACAGATAAAAGTGACTAATCTAAAATTTTGTTACAGAAATACCTCAAAACAAAAAGTATAAAAACAAGCTCCATTAGCTTTAAGCTCCTCGAGCCTCCCTCCTGGTGGCATCATGCAGAATATCAATGTCGACTCCATCAGGGGGGAGCTGGACATATCTAACTACAGAACCTCTGATGAAACAATTTCTAACAGAGAGCATATGGGGGTACTTTTCTTGGTCTACAACCCTCGTATTTTCTAATTTTATGTTCAGATATTGATCGACTGAATGAAGAATGCCTTTGATTGCCAAGTCATTCTTCAGCTCCACTGTCACCTCCTTCCCAACAAGTTCCTTGAAGTAGGAGAAGAAAAGCATCTTTCCTCCCACTTCACTATATGAAAAAAAAACAACCAAATAAAAACAGAGATCTGCATAATATAGGGAAAAATTACTAATGCAATAATTTGATATCATAAAACATATAAAAGAGAGTAAAACACTTTAGGGGAATTTACATGCATTCCACGCAATTTTTTTTATTTGCATGCAATCCTTTAACTTTATTTTTTTGGATTTATGACACCCAAATCTTTCACATCACAACAAAATAACACAATTTTAACTTTTCAAAAAGTGAAACACACCTATTCAAGCATAGGGAATGTGGTATGTAAAAGCTGAAGTGTAGATGTTAGATATGTAAATACATTGGGATTAAGTTGTATGCAAGTAAATCTTTCAAAAATTTATGTATCTATCTGGACTCCATTCAATTGGGAGGATTAGAGACTCAATGACAATTGAACTCCAGGGAAAACTCAATGACAATTGAACTCCAGGGCCAGGGAAAAAAAAAAATCTAAATAGAACCATGAAAAGGAAAATTGAATAGAACTTCCAGTTGATTAAAAAATGAATGAAAACGTAAACTTAATCAGATGACATTTCAGGTTCTAGAATTTCACAGCTAAGGAAATATGTTCCAACGTCCTTAAGCAAATAATTTAGGATTTCTTTGGGAATGTTGAGTGTATAAGCAAAGAATTGATTTAGAAAGATTGTATCTCAAAGCCTTTACTAAATAAAGTAGTTGTTAATAAGCAGTATTTTCACAAAATAAGGCATTGCCTCAGAAAAGTCCAATAAAATCATTTTAATGCAGCAGTTCAAGGAGGTTCTCCCTGGTAAACAGGGTCTTAAACTTACCACACCTCATAAATTTGGACAGTACATCATCAGCAATTGATGTTTGATTAAAAATTCTGAATTAAATAAGGCTGACGATCATGTCTAAACTCAAAACCCAATCTATAAACCCTAACCCTAAATTTCATTCAACTCACACACACACACACACACGCAGATTGATATATATATATA